CCTCGTCCCGCACACGCCCGGCGCTGATCCCTTCCCAGTTTCTTAGGGCCCGCTTCTAAGTACGATTCAAAGGCAACGGACTGCGCCGTCTCTGTTCGCCCACGGGCAAAAATAAATAGCAATGTGCAAATAACAATCGATAATGCAAACAAAATATCCTTCTGCTCGGGGTTATTCAGCGGGCATGCTTAAATGCAACGCTCTTTATTTGTAACTGGTGAATTCGGGTGCACGCTTTTAACACCAATTAACCTCACTTCTTTTGTTGGACCCTGATGAATTTCGCAGATTATGGATTATGCAAGTATAAGAAAGTTAATACAATGCCTATTAACCAAATTGTGCTTAAGCTGTTAAACTGTAAGAGTATTACAAACCTAATAATATAAATTGTATGGTAATATTAATCTTATTTCTGCCTTTAAATAGTTCAGAGAGCGATCTGCATATGAAAATGTCTTTATGGAGAAATTAACTTGCAACCCCAGTACCATTCCGAGACTCCAGCTGAAAGGAAGCTTATGCAAAATGAACATGTGCACCATTAGCCCAAACGTGAGCGCAGATGTGTGCTTTTACAGCCATTAGCAGGTTCACAGAACGACTCTGGAGAGCTGAGGGCGTAGCAAGTCACCAAAGAGCTTCCTAGAAAATTGAACCTTGCAAGCTGAGAAATGTTATTGACCATTTGCAATAAACATGATAATAACAGCCTTAATTAGGAATGGGGACTGACTGTAAAAAGAAAAAAGAAAAAGGAAAATTGCAGTTTTATTCTTCTCTGGGTGAACTAAAGAGTTTTAAAAAGTGGAAAACCACTGCGAAAATCTCAAATGCAAAGTGCAAGACAACCATGGGATTACAACTGATCCACTCAGTAGCTTGGCATGTCTGGTTCAGCTGATTGTTTCGAAGGGGCTTTCAAAGGGGTCCTGGTGCAGAGCAGTGAGGGGACACATTCCGGAGAACACTCGACCCGAAGGCCAAAGCCCCCGAGGCACAAGCGAGGGACACGGCGTGGCCCAAAGCGCCGACACGAGTGCCAGCTAGAGGCGGCTGGGGGAAAAGAGCACACGGCTCGCACATTCCCCAACGGGACTTGCTCATTCTGTCTCATCCTGCAGTAGAACATGTTGATTGCACAGACAAAGCCAGTCACCTGGAAGATGTTTAGTTGAATAATCTGCCCAAATGGGTTTAGGCTGGCTGTCAGACTCATTTACATGTGTACAGGGCAAATTCAACAAGGACACGGATAGTTCTACTCAGGTACAAGTGGTGTCTTTGTTTCTTCTCAGGATTGTTTTATGAGCCAAAAGAAATACAGATTAGTTTTCCAATTGTTGCCCTTTATCTTCCCCATCTTTAATAAATCCAGGATCCAGAATTACATTATTGACCTCTAGTGTACTGTACTATGAAAGATCCCGGCTAGAAAAAGACTTTAAGGCCATCAATCCTTCCCTGGTTTTGGTCAAGTTCTGAACCCCATTGCTGCTTCTGCCTTTTCCTCTGTTTTCTGAATAAAAGTAAAAGCTATTACAGAGCAACTTTTCACAACAGTATTTGAACTTATAGTCACAAAGGCTTGTGACAGCTACCAATACTGTCACAAACAGTTCAACAGCTGCAGTGGTTGCTGTATCTCTCATTGCTAAAGCACAAAGCATGAAATGTCAGCAGTCAGGCTGTAATCACCAGAAATACATTTTCCATCTTTGCTTTCTTTTCACTCCACAGCATATTTACTGATAGCCTTTAGATGGTTTAAGAGCTGAGGAAAGGGATGTTTCCTCATTTAAGAAGTCATTAAAGGAAAAAGGCTTGTATATAATACTTTTTTAGCACTTTGTTCTCTTTTATGCAGATTACCAGGCTTAAATTTGCTCTAGCATCAATTACTTTTTCTGATATTAGGTAAATTGAAGTTCCTGTGTTAAGCATCCTTTTCAAAAGGAGGAATGGGACAGAGGTGGGGGGAGAGCAAAAACGTGTTTTACAACATTTGATTCTCTTACACTATTTATTCCATCCAAATTAAGAACATCATTACCACAACATCGCACAACTCTGTTTAGTACTATTCTTTTGTTTGGACTTGAAAGAAATTTTTGCTTTATATTTCTGAAGTTCTTTTACTAGTAAGATCTGAAATGGAAAGAGTAGCAGGTAACATACCTGATACGAGTTCTTAGATTTTCTTGAGTCTTCTCAGAATCAAAACCACAGAAAACACTTTTGGTCAGCCCTGCAATGGTCAGTTGAACTTAATGGTCACTACAGGTCCTTTTTTCCACTGAAATATTCTATTACATGAGAGCGCCAAATCCAAAGTTATCCTATTTAAATAAGTATATTCAATTTCTGATTGAACATTGCTTTTCCTACAATTGAAAGAGAAGTTAGAACATACTTGAGTGTTTATCCCCACCAAAGTAAAGACATAGGGGAAATAAAAAAAAAAAAAAGAAGAAATTAAACCTACTCCGGAGATTGTGATTTGCCTACTTCAAATAGTTTGGGTTTGAAGAACAAAGATTATATTCTTCCATTTTCTACAATATGACAATATTAACCATAAAAATACAGCAATCTGTTCCTGATATTCTGACTGATATTGAATATGTATTTATGATATAATTCTATAATTCTACAGGGTTAGAGCATGTGAAATCATAACTATAAACACATGTACTGAGTAACTAAAGGCTAGAGTGATCCCAGTTCTAATTTATTTTCAATATACATATCACCTGACTTTTTGTTCTTTCAACTTGACAGCTAACTAGGGGTTTTAATGTTAATATTTCATTATAAAGATATTAATAATTCATTATACCCTGGAAAATGAAGCTATTTTATTCCAATACAAAACCATGATTCTCATGAAAGCTTTACTGCAAATTTAATTAAATTTGTCAGTTAACAGAATTCAATATATTTCATCGTACTGAATAAGGCAGTGTGACTTAACCCTTAGTGGTGTGCCAACAGAGGCTCCATTCAGAAGTGCACAGAAGCATTTTGATATGTTCTTTACCTATCTGGACCTGCTTCCACAATCAAGTCTGTACTTCATATTCCCTTATACTGTATCACAAAGGAGTCTCACAGGAGTGCTACTTCTCAGCCAGTGAGCTGATATTGACATTCAGAGCAGCAAAAGAAAATAAATGTGTGGTGCCAAAAGATTGTTTGCTCAGCTCCCTTACCTCAGACCATGTGCACACACCTGCAGGGTCTTTGCTCCTGCTGCCACAGCCCAGCCTGGAAGATCACATCCTTCAGGAGAGATTTGTTTAACTGCACACCTCAGTAATGGCAAGATTAGTTTAAAGCAATTATTGTTGGGACAAATGCACTATTTCCAGTATGGCAAGCCATCACCCTCACGTCCCCTTCACAGACAATATTTTCCCCATAGAAGGGCATTTCTCAATGACCAGACGCCCTTGTTTTGCCATCGAACAGCAAACCAAATTACCAGTATCTGCAGAGCTCATTCTGCCTGCAATCTGAGCAACTGAAGAGTTTGTAGAATAGCAGTGCCAGGAATGTAATAGCTAGTCGAGAAATTTGGAAGCATCAAATACTTATATTAAGCATAGAGAGAGCTAAAGGCTCAAACATACTCATTTTATGTAATTTGAAATCTTTCTTTTCTGGAGCTGCAAGAAAGTCTTTATGATTTAGCATTTAGAAATCCCAAGGAGACAGTGGAAATTAATATTTTATTTGCTGTGTTTAAATAAGGAATAGTATTTTAAAATGACAGAGAATATTGTTTGTTCTAGCAACTTTCACAGTGCCAAACGGAATTAATAAGACACTGGATCTGAAATCTTAAAGGGGTTTTATTTTTAGTTTACTTTTCTATTAGTTTTAGTAGTATTTACCATAGAGTTTTTCAGTTTTCAGCCAAAGGATTATTTGCAAACTGTTTATTCTAAACATGAGAGCTGTGATTATGATGCTGAACTAGTATCACCAGAAACATTTAGAAATATTTTGTATCAACCTACCTTTTGGAACTGAACTAAGAATGACAAATGGAGTGAAGAGTGAACTTTTCGGCACTTGGAAACCCAAACATAGAAATTAGGCTAATTTTTTACAATTACATGTGCAAAAAACCCGAAGTATTTTTTGTGTCTCTATGGAGCTATTCAATGAATATGCAAGACAGAGTAAGCAAACAGTTAATATACAATGTTCAGTTTGTTAGCTGAGAGATTACATCAATGAAGAAATCCTTTCTTGCCCTGTTTTG